GCCTCATCTCGTTTGTATAGTTCTTATGTTCTTATGTTCTTATTACTATCTAAATGTAACCTACCTCTATCTCAATATGTGCCTGTAGCTATCTATCTTTGTCTGTGTTAGCAATGTTAATATATACATGTAATCTATGTGTCTATGCATACTCTAGCTGTTTGATTTATGTTTCTAACTGAATCTAAGAAAAACCTTGATATTACACCTACTATAAATTATATGTCCCTCATTATTTACTTAACCCTAAATCACACTAACTGCTAACCTGTGTAAGGCCGCAGGTTGCAGGCCCCGTCGGTCTGAGCTCTGGCAAGCCTGTAATGTTCCACCCAGTTCCTCTAGCAAGGTCCAAGACTGGACCCAAATCACCTGATCACCACATCAAAAGGGACACCTCACCCCCACCAGGCAGCCAGAACCCTGCAGCCAAATTCCAGTGACCAGATCTGGCTGCGTCAAGACACAGATGCATCCTACACCCGCTAACTCACACCAACACAGGAGGTATTACCCCAGACTAACATCAGGGACACATACACCCATGTTTGGTCTAGTTTGAATGGTCACAGTACGACAGGCACAATACTCTCAACCTTAACGCAGTATGTTTTCCCATAAGAGAAATATAGAAAGTAAGAATAAGCCCACCAAAGTGGAGGATCTTATCACCTGGTAGAACAAAGGAACTCCTAAAGCAATTTGATTGGCTGAGGGTCTGAGAATTGATAAAATCAACAGTTCTCCAGGACACACACACAAGATCAAAGCAGACCCTAAATAATCAGTCACAATATTTGGTACATTCTGTCACTTGGTTTGGAATACTTAAGGAAGAGCTCCAGAGTAGCAAAGGGAGACACTCTGTAATCAGAGCTCCCACATAGTGCTGCATGAATCTACATTTGTAATCAGATATTTTCTGCAGTTACTATGTGTCCACTCAGCTGAGTTATGAAATTGTTGTATTGTTTTGATTGGATGATATAGTTTAGGACTTGTGGCCACATGTTAAAATTACCTTAATGTTATAGTTAGTTAAATTGATGTGTTATATACAGTAAAACTGGTCTAAGTCGCCGTCTTGTAACTCGTCAATGTGCACAAGTCGA